AGGCAACTGACTCCTCTCCAAGTTGTTTCTCTGCTTTCTACGCTGTGAATATCTGAACAGGTTTCAGTGCCCATGGTCAGTGAAGGGAACAGGTTTGGAAATATGCTTGATTTGCTTGGCACTTTACACAAAACATTTTTGTAGAGTCTCACTGGATTGTTTTCCCTTCATCTTGTGGTGCGTATTAATTTCAAGGCATCAACGCATTTGATAGCTTGCTTCAAAATCATAATCTTTCTAAAATCCGAAAATTTCTACTAGTATTTGTCCTGTAAACATTCTATCTTCAGCAGCCTTTTTCCATACAGAGACAGATTTAGGTGCATCTGTGCACACATTTTACTTGACCGCTGATTCCAGAAGGAATCCCATCGAGCAGACCAGGGAAGCTGCATTTTTGGGCCACATGGTTTTAAGCAACTTTTCCTGGAATAGTTTGCTGAAAAACAGGAGAGTAAATGGTAAAAGAAAAAAAGAATGGTATTACCCACAAACATTAGGGAAAGCTAGAATCCCAACCAAAATCATATCTCTGTCCGCATTCTGGGAAAAATAAGTTTTAACAATAAAAAGTTACTGTTTAATACATATTGTTTTTTCATGTTCTCTTTCTTTTCTTTCAAAACTCTAAGGTCCTAAGGAAATGGCATGGACGCCTGTTTTGAATGTCCGTGATTGATGGGCAATATGTAGGCTACCATGTGTCTACCAGATGTGTTTGTCTGCAGTAGGAGTGCCAGTGTGGCAGTTGTTTTCCATCAGGTGCTGGAAGTCAGGACAGGTGCAGACAGATGAAGAAAGATTGATATCTCTACGACAGACGGCGCAAGTTAACACACTGCCTCTGGCCAGACAGAGACACTGAAATTAAAGGATTAATACACTGGAGTTCTAGACCTAGAGCAGGAAATTGTAATTGTCCATTTCATCATTTCAAATCTCCTATTTTTTGATCTCTTAAGGAAGCTCTATGGTAAAAAAAACAAAAAAAAACCCTTACTCGGTAGTAGTGTTTCTGTTTTTTCAGCCACTTTTAACCATGTCATGGTCACTCCATTGTAAGATATCTTAAATATTTCTTAATGGCTGGATGTGTGTAGCTTGCAATAGAGCAATAAGCTTTATTTGATAACTAAATGTGTGGCCTGGCAAAAAGCCCCATGATGTCAGTTCAAACTGCGTTAAAGAGAAATCTGCAGTCATGTCAGGTCTTGATATCAGTGACTAATGCACAACAATACTTTGACCACATTTCAGTATCATGCATTCGGTGGTACTGTGTTATTTTCTTTCCAAGTCAGGTTCCCGGTAACTGTAAAATTGTGATTATTGTTTGGTGAATCACTTAAAGGTGTTCACAGGGACACAAATCATCACAATGTCAAGATCAGATGATATAAACACTCTCTCTCTGTTATACTGAATCCGGTGCATAGTGCCTAAAGCCTGCCTCAAGTACATTTCCACTTTCTCTGTAATTATGCAGCGCTGTAATCAAAAGAATGTTTTCTATGTCAACAGCTGCTGAGATGCAAACACATACACATTGCGTGGCAATTAAGAATTTTTATAAGCTGTAATATTCACGGTGTGAGCAGTTCGTCATCAACCAGCACACGTCATTACTAGTGTATGTGTCTAACTGTTGATATGACAAAGATACCGCAGATCTACGTGTATGCTGGAACGGGACCATTTAATAATGGACATTTTTTTCTTCAGACTCACTGTTATCTATAACAAGCTGCCTTTAAAATATTTTCAGTAATTAAACCTCTTATATTTCTGTGAACAAATTTTTCACACCACATTTAAATTGTGCATGTTTCTACTAAAAGATTACAGTGAGGACTTTTATGCCACTCTCCATCTAAATTCTATACCCTCACTGATCACAACCCCCCCATGCAACTCAGATTTTATCGCCCTCTCAGTAACCTGTGAAGGCTCTCCAGCTGAAATCTTAGACGAACCTTACAGAGCATGAGAGAGAGAGAGATTGTCACGCAACAAGCGTTCTCACTGTACACCTTTAACTACCATTTCCATCTGCATCTGGATCACAGATTATAACACAAAGGCCTTCTGTATTCCCTAGTGCATTACTTACTGTCAGGGATGTACACAAGGCGGTTAACCACATATATTATGATCATTTCTTCCCATAAATACAACTCTGCATTTACACATAGCAGATATGCAGGAAAAGCTTAATTGGTGCATCACGTCCTGTAGATCATCACTGAGGTTGTGATAAACCAACAACTGGAGACATAAACAAGATGACAACACAAAGCTTCAATTTACCAGATGCAAATTCTACTGTGGTTCCTGGTAAACCAGAGGAGTGTGGCAATTCTCTGGTGCTGTGTGTAGAGTGCAGAGGGTGTTTCAGTGGAACAATAAACAAAGAAGAAATGTTTTGCAATATAAATTAACTAATCATTAAGACACAGCGATTACACTAACCATAAAGAACAGAAATGTAGCAACAAATATGTTTGTCAGATTTGTTTTTGGAGTACAGTATGTACATTTATATTTTGTATAGTTGCTACTATTTGGTACAATTTGCAACACAAGCAAAGTAAAGGTTATGTTCTGTAAATATGAGTTGCAGGATTCATGTACAGCTGGTATACATACAGCTTACTGTAAGAACCATGATTTTGCACGCTTCAGCTCTCTGTTTAGAACAGTTCATCTCTTCTTTGTGATGATAAGGGGCCTGATGGAAATGTGAATGTCCTCCCCCTCTTCCTTAAGGCTATTTGATCAGAATTACACTATGCAAGTTTGAACCAGAAGTGTTGTACAGCAATGCTTACATGACACAATTGAGCATTTTACTGTACTGTGACTGTTTCACTGTGTCTAGTGTTGTGTGTTTGTTTGTTTCATTCAGTTAAGATTCCCTGTTGAGCGTTTCTTTGATTACAGATTATCTCTCGCTTGTCAAACCACCAACTTAAACTGGTAGCTCTAAGATCCATTCACAGATTCATTAGAAATTAAATCCAGTCAGAGAGTCCCTTTCTAAGAATTTTTAAAAGCAGCTGGCAAGTCAACTGGCATGTCTCTGCTTAATGATCACGTCTCTGCTCTTTTTGCGTTTGTGCTTTGGAATTAGTCTTATACCGAACGTTGCACAGGCTGCATTACATAGCTGCATCGATGGCCATGGTTAAGAACAGTTTTTAGTGTCTAACCACCAGTTTCAAGATACATGCATGAAAGTATTAACACAAAACCATAACAAAGCTAGATGACAGCTTTTTTCAATGAAGTATCAGAATATAGTAAGAAGTATTGCATTATTACATTTTCCCACATGATGCCTTCAAATTGCTTGTTTTGTCCAGCCACCAATCTAACTAAAGATATTCCATTTACTACAACAGAAAACACAGAAAATCAGCAATTCATCACATTTGAGTAGCTAGAGTCTCTTTGAAAAATTACTTAAATGATTGATTGATTATTAAAATTGCTGATTGGTTTCTTTGATAAGTGGACCAACAGAAAACTAATAATTTAAGCTCTACTGTAACAAACAAACACATGCTGATTTGTAAATGTACATTAACAATGAAAGATACACTTATTGGTAGGCAGTCAAATCAAAAGATTAGATATGCATTTATTGGACATGATACAGCTTCACCGAAACAAACGTGGCTGGTCTTCAACATCAACAGTATTAACACATATTATTTGTTAACAAGATGTCCAAAATTCATTCATGTTTACCTTTTTCCGTTTTTAATAAGTCGGGCAGAAACAAAATAAATGTATCAATAAACATTCACTGGTGAAAATATCAAATACTAAAATTAATGTATCTGGTCAAAGTGATGTGTGTGTATGTGTGTGTGTGTTTTTGTGTGTATACACATCTGAGTAGTCTAAAATGACCATTTTTCCGTCCTGGCTTCCACTGATTTGACTAAGCCCTCTCCCATGACCCGGAAGTCCTCCAGTATCGCTTCAACATTGGGAACAGTATTTACGTCCTCCCCAGTCACCTCCACGCTCCGAGCAGACACCTGTGACGTCTGCGATGTGTGATGAAGAAAAAAAAAAAAGTTTAAGCATAAGGTCGGCGTGATAGATGGTGACACGAGAATGGGCAGGATTGAGGTGACACATAATGCAATGCTGATGACAAAGCAAGCTGTTAGCAAAAGGGTTCTCTCTTATATGGATGCTTCTGGGACATGAGTGACTTAGCTTTTACCTTAAAAGGCATTGAGATGAAGGCCTTTGGTTTCCATAAAACTGCAATCACTGTTCCACCATAGGGATCACAGAAGAAGAGGGCAAAGTCTCCAAACGCATCCTGAAAACAAATCAGGGGAAGTGATGTAGAAGTTCAGGTCACAAGATGACAGACTTTTGTCAAAAAACAAAGCAGATTAATTACTAAGTAGATTTTTTTTTTTTTTTTTTTTTTTACATGGCAGCATCCGAAAACCTTATCAGTTAGTTACTTAAATTTACTTCCTCTGCAAGCCGTTACATTTAACAACTTCTGTTTGATAAGCTCAGTCTAAGCTCATGGATTGACTATTGTGACCCATCATTACTGGCTAGGTGTAGAATTATTCAAATAATGCATACAATGTATTGGCTGCTCCTTTCATGGCATTCATGAGAGATTCAGAGAAAGAACAGGAAGAGAGATGCAGCGAGAAAGACAGAGGGAGAAAGATGAAGAGAAAGACAGAGGTCCTACATTCTTGCCAAGTTTGCTGAAAAACAACTCAAGACTCTTGCCGAGAAACAACCTTAAACATATGAGTCGTGTGCATGAGAGTGTATGGAGAAGGTGATTAACATTAAGAAAAAGTTAACTGCTGAAATAGGAAAGTTCAAGGAAATCTCCATTAACAGAGTTCACGCTTGGATGTTGTGATTCTGTGAACAATGCAAGCACAGAATAGTTTCACTGGATATTTCGCTTTTCTGCAATTCCTTTTTTTTTTTTTTTGTATTACCAGTAACAACCCAACTGTGACTAAACCCTGCTTCACATTTTCTCCTCAAATCTTGTGTCAACAAGTTGTTGATAAAACCACGCCTTCCTAACATGAAGCGCATCGCTGACAGATTAGACTCACTCTGAGCTCCGTCAGGTAGAAGGACACCGGGTTGTAGTCGATGACAGGCAGGGCCCCTCCAGACTTGGCCACACCACCAGTCATGACGCCCCTGCTGAAGTTGACGGCGGGAGGGTCTACTGCTTGGCCGAGAAGGGGAACCTGCTTGGGGTTCAGGTGGATCAACACATCGTAGGCATCCAGAGGAGGGCGCATGACCACCTACACAAACACAGACGCGTGCATCACAATGCTGATATGTTCGCTCAGACAGAAGATCATTTACGATGAAGTGGAGTGGTGAGAACCTGTTACCAACCCTGACATCTTGTATCTGGCCCGCGTCCATCAGCTGATGTTCCAGTACTTTAAGACTCTCTGCAGCCACCATCACCACACGCTGCAGCATCTGAACACACAACCAAAAGTAGCCTTGGACATTCTGAAGTGTCATATAATATAGAGACCATCATTGTGGTTGTACAGCCACACTAACAATGGAATACAATTTCCCAGAACACATGAAAATTTGACCCAACAATTGCGGACACGAAAAGGCAATAAAAATATAAATAACATTATATAGAGAATTATATAGAGTATTATTTCAACTGGTATGATGAAAGCACACCCTTTTACATTAATGCAAAAAGTCACTTAGATATACTGCTGGATCAAAACACAGGTAATATGAGGTAATACAGTGGGTCCAAAAGTCTGAGATCACTTGAGGGAAAGTGGTTGTAAAATCCCTGCCCTCTTCTTACTGAATGATTCTCCTCAAGCACATTTATTTCAGCATTTTAATCTAATGATGGATACTCTTTCCTCCAAGTACGATAGTTGGTTTGTATTTTGACAACTATTACACAAAGGGGCCAAATTACAACCCATGTTCACTCATAAGGATAATGTACTTTCATTCAAACTAACTTGAATTAATTATATGTGCATCGCTAATTAACATTTCTGTGGCCATGGTCATGGTAGGCATTTTGTGTATTAAGAAAGAAGCTCCAATATTCATTCAGATTCACTCCATCACAGTCTGCTCTCTAGTGGTCATTCAGAGGAATTGAGACTACGCACCAGAATAATTCACTCTCCTCATCTGTTCCTATTTGTCTTGAAACACATTTTCAGTTTTGGGAGTATGTGAATGTGGGCATGTGAATTCTACAAGAAATTGATATATGCAACCTGGGCTACAAGATAAAGTAAAATGGAAATATTCCTGAACATTGTAATTAGGCATGGCGAATTAAGCCCATGATGACATCACAGAGGACAAAGTTCCTGCTCTCCGCCACCATTATAAAAAGAGGATGCTGGGAGAGGCTCAGTATAAGTGTTGGGCTTGTAGGGGGTGTAAGGTGGGCGAGCGCAGGAAGCTTATCTGGGTCAGTGACGCACCATGGGAAGCTGGTGTGTGCACCTTTTCTGTACACTACTGTGTGCTGCTGGACTCTTTTACAGCCATGGACACATCCAAACAGAGGAATACAAAACAAAACATTTACCTTATTTTTCTACGACAGAGGACGGCAATGAAAAGCAACTGGTGAGCTATTACTCATGGTCTCCAAAAACATAAGGATTGCTTTCAAAGAGTTCGCTTAGAAGGCTGTTGGTCTTTTCAGATGGAAATTCTTCAGAATTTTGTTTGTTATTTCATAGTCTGGTGATATTTTTAATTTTTTAAAAATGTTTTAAATAATATCTGCATTTCCAGATCAATGATTTACATGAGGTTCTGGAAAGACTTCAGAACAATCAATTTCCAGCTCTGAGAAAAAAGCATGGCTATCTGCCTTTGGTATGTAATGCAATAAATCTGTCCATCTGTAAATTATCTCAATATCTTTTCAGAACAATAAATTCATTCTCTTACCAAGTACATTTACTGTTCACTTATGAACAGTAAATCATTAACAATATCTTATTTAAATACAGTTTGAACTCTTTTTCAGTGTGATCCAGGAGACCTGTGTGCACTAAGGAAAGGCTCCAGAATTGGGAAACTATGCGACTGCTCTCTGCCAAGAACATGTAACTCTTTTCTACACCGTTGTTTGTGATTTCTTTGTAAAGAAGCTTGTGACCTATTTGATGTCAAGATTCCCTTTTATCTTTTTCTATGTACTGACCTATTGTAATGTTTAATATTTTTTTTTGAATTGTGCTAATCTATTAAATGTGTAGCTGTGTGAGTTGTGCATTTGTATTTGTGAATCCACTGACCTGTACACTAGGTGCTCGCTTGGTCCACATAGATGCTTTTTTGTCTTTAGGCGTAGCTATAAACATGACAGGCAGAGACTCCCTGGAGGCCATGAAGTCATTCTTGATTTCTGTGTAGTCGGCAGCTACACGTGACAGAGAGGAGAACAACAATTAAACTCGGATTTGAAACAGCGATGCATACGAGCAGGATGTTAAAGTATGTCGGGTGTGTAGATAGAAGGAGGTCAGGAGGGCTTTGTTCGTGTGACACAGAGGGAAAAGGCGAGCGCGTGAGAGTGCTTGCCTGTGAGCTGGTTGTTGAGGTTGACTACCAGTGGGTTGTTCCTCCAGTCAAAGGAGGAGAGCAGATGAAGGAAGCGAAGGAAGCCCACCTGAGGAGATCTGAGGAATACAGAAAATTCACTCACATGACCTACTGAAGGAACAAAGGGATGTGAACAAGATGTATATTCAAAAATGGCTCTGATGAGGTGGACAGATTATTAAAAAGTGTTACTTACCCAGGAGGAGTGAAGGGTGCAGGCTGCAGGAAAACCGACGCCACCAGCAGGTCTGCTGTATCCTCTGAAATGTCGTCACTGAAGAGCTGAGCCCCCAGCCAGCGTTTGACCAGGCGACACACTGCCCCAAAACATGGGTGCTCCTGCTGAAGCCTACCAACAACAAGATGACATGTATAAGATGGAGCAAAAAAAAAAAAAAGGAGGAGGAAATGGTGCATGTAGGTCAAACAAAAATAATAAAGACACAGAGAACAGACACAAAATAAGGTGACACAAAGGAAGAAAAGTAGGTCAAACAGTAAGAAAGTGAAAACATAATCAGAAAAAAAACAACTATTTAATAGTTATAACAGCAACGTGTAGGGTTGAAAAGACAGAGCGAACCACTAGGAAATCTACAACCCCGCTTTCTCACACAAACACACAGGTACTACTTTGTGTTGCTATTTTAATTTTACCCATGTAATGTGCTGGTGAGTAGAGGCTTGTGAATGGTGGCCATCTCCAGAGCTTGAGCCTCCTCATTGTCCCTTACAACCAGCAGGCCCTCTGCATTCACACTCTCCCTCAGCACCTGAGGCTCCCGATGATATGCCACCTGGATGCGGAACACCAAGCCATCCTGGATTCATAAGCATAAGGAGAAAATACAGTGTAAATAAACAGAATACTGTGAAGTGCAATGAAAAAAATGGATGTTCTACAAACTTATAATTTAAAAAACCTGTTTTACATTGCCTTAACATAGTAAAGTTCAAGTTCACAGACATGTGTGGGACATGTACACAAAATAATACCTTCCAGACATCTAGGTGTGTGGGGCAGGGCCTGCACGTATAATTATGGTGCTTCTTGAGCAACTCTCCCACACGGATGTGGAAGGCAGTTCGGATGTGGCGTATGGCGAGGCGGTCGTGAGGCCACTTTCCACTCCCCTCCATGTGACAGATCACTGCAAGAACAAAGGTTACTGATACATTGGTATATACATTTGTATAGCTAAATGCCTGTGGTTAAATGGCTGTAACTTTCCATCTTTGGACTCAGTTATTCTGTAATTTTGCCTGTTGTCATCCCAGATAGTGGAAAAAATTACAGGGAACACACATGTAGCCACCCGGGAGACAGACAAATCAAGTGATGTTACAGTATGTTTCAGTGAGAATGAAAATTCATATATGTGCAGAAATTACTTACATATAGTTTTCAAAACATTAAAATTAGAATTAACAGCTTTTTAATTAGTTGATTTGTGGAGGAAACACTAACCTGTGATGGGGGTGATATAAGCAGGGCATGGTTTTCCGTCCTTTGGCACCAATGATCTGGACGTTTTTTCTCTCTCACAAAAGGAATAGTCCAGCTTCAGTGGCACAGGGGGAAAGACCTTCAAGGCACAACTTAAATGTTAGAGCAGTCACAAAACCAAACTCAAAATTTACAGTTGCAATACAGCTATCAATACCAGTTGCATTGAAGTGGGTTTTAAAACTATGCAAAATTACCCGTACCACTTACAAACTTACTAGTACTAACCATTACACTAATGAGAGCAGTTCCCTGTTTAGAACAAGACGCTTTACCTGTGTGTATCTGAGTGCAGGGTGGGCTCCTTGTACTGCTGTGATGGTGAGAGGCAGACCTTCCAGCCTCCACAGTTTTCTACTCAGGTCATCATAAGACTGAACCACCAGTAAACTCTCCTCCTCTCCAGTACTAGACATCTGAAATGCATAACACACACATTAACACATTAAACACATGGTGTACAAATACATTATTAAGGGGTGTATTTATTTAGCAATTAAAAGGCAACATTGATATGCCCCTATGGTGGTTTAAACCATTTACACACCAACTTAATATACATTCATCAATAATCAAAGGTGTATTCCCACAGCAATACAAACACCCCCACAACATTTCAGATAAAAAACATTAAACAAACATTGCAGGGTTTCCATACAAGAATATATACCAACAAATACATTCTATTTGTTTTCAATGGAACTCATCGACATTATTTTGAATTTGATGCATGGATATATGATTATTAAAAATAAGCAACGATTTACCTCACTTCCCGTCTTGATGACGTCATCCACCATCGCCCCCACGTACCGCATACAGGATTCGGGGATATCTGCATGTCTGATGGATAATAAGTATATTATCTTAAAATTAAAACGAGGCTTCAACACAATCATACCTACACTCACATCACTATTATTTTCTGTCAGGGCATATGCTGAAGTGAAACGGGTCACAACTTCGTCTTTTTATTACCCAAAATACCCATTCTTCAGTTAGCAAGTTAGCATTAGCTAACTTGCTAACGTAAAAAACACTCGGCTCAGACATTAGCTGCACAAGACATGAAGCGTACGGGGAGAAGACGGAGCTCTGTGTGGGACTGCTTTGAACAAGTGGGGAACTTCGTCCGCTGCACGAAATGCGACGCTACGCTAAAGTACTGCGGCGGAGCCACCAGCTCCATGATGAACCACATGAGCAGGCACCATCCGTCCACAGCGCCGCTAGACGAAGACGAGAAACCGGTGATTTGTACCGTTCAGTGCATCGAGGAGGAGAGTGCCGCTAACTCGGACATCATGCAGGTTGCCATCATGTCACCGAACGTGAACATGACCACCAACCCCCCTGAGCGTGACTATGGAGAGAGGAAGCGCCTGAAGCGGAGCTCTGTGTGGGACATTTTCATCAAAGTGGACGACGAGGTTCACTGCACCATGTGCGACACGAAACTGAAGTACAGGAGCAGCACCACCAGCATGATGTACCACATCAAAAACAAGCACCCAGACACAATGCCTAATGACGGTGTGTCACTGGCAACACATGCAGAGGTGACTGAACTCATCTCCAGAATGATAGAGAAGGACATGCTTCCCATCAGCGTGGTTAATGGGGATGGTTTTCGTGAGCTACTTGCATACACAGTGCATAATTATAAAATGCCATCTGCTGGTGATATCACACGCCTCATTGAAGGCCACGTCCATGAGAAGGTGGAGGAGCTTGTAGTGCAGCTTGGTAGAGTGGAGAAAGTGGCTCTCACTGCTGACTTCTGGACAGCCCTGCCATTTCAAAGGTACATTACTGTATCCTGCTCGTTCATAACAGAAGACTGGCAGGGGAGGTCAGCTGTGCTGCAGACACACAAGCTATCTTCAGACAGCCACACTAGTACTGACAGCATCACAGAGAGGCTGCTCAACACTGTGCAGACCTGGGGTATTGCTGGGAAAGTGACTGCATGTGTTCATAACAACACACAAGACATCTTGTCAGTCCACGCGTGTGCCCGTGTCACCTGGAACTATGCCACTTGTTTTGCCACTACATTGCAGCTGGCAGTCAGTGATGGGCTGAGCGAGGATCTGGTCCGCATCATTGTTGCTGCCGGGAAACTAGTCAGGCACTTCAGTCACAACTTGCTGGCAAGTGAGGCCTTGGAGCACAAGCAGGTTCAGATGTGCCTGCCACAGCACAAGCTTATCCAGTCGAGCAAAGCTAGATGGGACACTATCTGTGATATGTTTGAACGGTTACTTGAGCAACGGTGGGCCATTAAAGCCGTGCTCTCTGATCGCACAATCACCAACAGACAAGAAGCCCAGACCCTTGAGATTGAAGATGACTGCTGGCAAATAATTGAGAATTTCACACCTGTGCTGGCAACTCTGAAATGGGCAACAACAGTCATATCTGCTGAAACGGAGGTGTCCATTTCAAACATCTACCCAATCACGTTCAGCCTCATTCAGACTCACCTTGTGCCAAAAGAAAATGATGTTGAACAGGTCTCTGAGTTCAAGCTGAAAGTTCAGACGTCACTTAGAAATCACATGGAGGTAGGCATAAACTAATGCCAAATATAATTTTGTGCTCCAAGTAAAATATATTTGGCTATAGTATTAGTAGAATAAGTGCTGACAAAAATGAACAATCTTCATCCTCTTTATATAAATTCCTTATTACTGTTATTTCATTTTAATGTCCGCAGGTTGACTCCAATGACCTAGCCTCCAAACCAGCTCTGATTGCCTCTATGCTGGACCCTCGTCACAAACATCTTAGCTTCCTGACGCCAACAGGGAGACTGGCTGCAAAGGTTAAACTGCATGAACTGGTTTCAAAGTTAGATGTGATAACTACTACAGTGGGCACAAAGGATGAACAGCATGAGACCCTGGTCACACCTGATATTAGCCAGGTGGCTATGCCCTCACAATTGAGAAGTGACACCAAAAACACCATGATGTTGCTCCTGGGAGACAACTACAGCTCCTCCTATGCCACAGACTCTGAGGCTCAGGTAGATTACTACTTGAGAGACATTGCTCCCTCATTGGACATAAACCCTCTTGATTGGTGGAGGGTAAATGGACCGAGATTCCCCAAACTGGCCACTCTGGCGAGACACTATTTGTGTGTACCTGGTGTATCACTTCCATCTTTACTGTCAGAGGCTGGGCAAGCATTTGCAACAATGCGTACAAGACTGAGCCCAGAGCATGTTGACATGATGATCTTTGTAAACAGAAATGTGTAACTTAAAACAACCCTACATGATGAAGATCTACACTGACTTCTAATACAAATAATAGAATAAGGTTACTGTAGGGCAGTGTGGAGCAAGAAAGGGTGGGTGTAAGCAGTCAGGGAGGATGTGGAAGATGGCAGGGCAATAACGACAGCAGGTACTTTCCCACTATTAAAATGTTATATCTGCTGGTGCCAATAATGCTATGAACTAAAATTCTTTCCATCAACAAAAAGTTAGAGATTCCTCCCTCAACAGTTGCCGTCAGCTGAGCTGCGGTCAAATACCTAACCGTTCTTAGTTAACACCTCACTCACAACATATCGTTTGACTTGATGACTGACATTCCTGGCTTAAAACAGTGGGCAGTGAGCCAGTGATAACAGCAATATCTGAGTAAACACGTAGCGACTACAATTCCTTGGCATTCAATATCAAATATCAGGCATACCATGGAGGCTGCAAACAGTGTATAAAAACTGCAGTCATTCATACACTTCATTTACCTTGACACAGTATTAGGTTTTGTACACTGTAGTTACAAACACATATTTTGAGTAGATTTCTTTACAGTAGTCTACAAATCAGGATAAAAACCATGGAGAAAAAAAAAACGAAGAAAAGTCTCTGTTTTGTTGCCATAATAGCAGACTGAATATTTGTATTATCAGTACAGCTAGAAACTCACTGATCAAACTAACAACTGTGTAATCACCAGTATTAATGTGCTGTCTTGTTGTGTCTCTCAGTGTGGTGTGCCAAGATAAAATACATACAGCTGTAGCAGGTGTGTGATGATCTGTTTGGGGACCAGACGTTTTTGGCACATGCTCTCTCCATCCCACAGGACAGCTTCAGTGATGGCACCGTCCTGGAAGCGGCGCAGCTCGGAGCGAGAACCCCACAGCTGACGAAACTCAGCTGCCTAGCAGAGGAACAACGCAGGTGTTAATAATGAATCATTGCACAAGCATGGTAACAAAATAAACAACACACCAATAAGTCTGCAAAAATGCAAATGACAGCCATATAAGAAACAGATTACTACAATAGTATTACGTTCTTTTAACTATTTATAACCATACAAGTAGTCAAAAATACAGACTACACTGAGCAGTTCTTTCTCAATATGGGGAAAAAATACATTAAGCCTACCCGAGGTATAAAATCTATAATTCATCACAAATCAGTTTGACCTACAAAATGTTGTTTCACCTGCACATGTGGTTGACACACACACATACACAGAAAAGACAGACAGACCTACCTTGGGGCTGTCTGCAGGTGGGCCTCTTTCCAGGACAGAGGCTGCTAGCTCCGGCTTTAAGAGCAAACCGAAGGAGAGAGGACTTTGAGCTTTGTGCTTTGGGGCTTCACTGTCCACGGACCACTGTGATGAAACAAAAATGAAGTATGTTCAACAAATTCAGCGATGTAAACATCGTCGATCCAGACTTTGTTAAAAGGAGCTCAGACTGGAAAAAAACTAAAATCAGTGTGCACATTCTGCCAGTTGAGTAAACAAGGCATGGGTATCTGTAGCCCCTGAATGTCAATGTTTCCCCACCTCAGGGTCTGGAGAGAGGGAGTGGGTGAGGAGGTGAATCCTTTGGCCCAGTCCTCGCTGAAGCAGTGACAGAAGAAAAGGCAGTGCAGTGTGGACATAATTCCCACTGTGGTCCATCAGCTCACTGAGGAGATTCAGTTTCTTACAGCTGGACTGAAGCTTTCCCAGCTCACATAATCTGAGTGGGAAATGAAAAGCAGAAAAGACAAGATGAGGAATTGAAGTTAAAAGAGGATGTGAAACGAGTTCTGCTCTGAAAGAAAAATAACTCAGGTTTTGTTCCAAAAACGAAGCTGCTTATGTAGTACACAAGATGTACTGGTTGTGATTAGTTTTGGTTGCATTAGTTGATAATCAGAGTCATACTGGAATACGTGGTCACTTGTCCTTATCATGGGTTTGGGGGTCATGAGGAGGCTGTGGAACCCATCCACTGTAGGGTTGTCCCAGAACTGCATCGACACAGACGCCTCATGCTGGAGCTGAGAACCAATTTGAAAATGGTCAATACCCGTTGCTGTATCTCACCAAGGAAAAATAATTATCTTTGAAAACACACACACATTCATTTTCACAGTATTTACCTGTTTGTAGGTGCAAGCTGTCATGTCAGCACACATGTTGAGATGTCCTGAGGGGTCAACAAACACCACCTGGAAAGCATTGTGGAACTCTGCAACAGATGGCTGCAAGGAAAAGAAAAAAAAGAAAGGCCATTAGGACAATAATGGTTAATTTAGGAAGTAGACAAAAGTGTGAGTAAACTACATTCCCAGGTTTATGGTTTTAAATGAGCTAGACCACTCACAGCTGTAGAGTCTGGATCTTTGGCTAGGCTGATCCCATTCATTGTTAGGTCTGTAGATGCTGAGGGTCAGACAGAAAGGTGTGTAAGTTGCAAGACATACAAAACAGTGATAAGCAAGTTAATGAAAGTACAACCACTGTATATCATATTGTGTGTCATATTATCTTTCATTACAAAAATAAAAACAGTAGTTTAGTGCAATTAAAATTTTCTTACCCAGGAAGTTCAAGCTGTTTCGAAGCAGCTGATAGGCTGTCATGGTGTTACTGATTCTGTGAGTGGTCAGCAAATAGGCCAACAGCATTGAAGCCAGGAAACCATTAAAACAACCAGTGCCCTGTAAGACAATGAGAGAGCGATACAGAGGAGAGGTGAGATAAACAGTGTCAGAAATGTAAAAAAAAAAGAAGAGAATATAAGCTCTGTCCAACAAGTAAAAGAGCCACTGTTAGCTTCCTACCTGGTCGAGCTCTCTTTGACGAAGCCAGACTTTGAGCAAAGCAGCCCCATCAGCAAAAGCCGAGCACTGGGAGCTGACAGCAGAGAGAAACTGGAGGTGAGCCCTGGGCAGTAAATCCCCCAGAACAGAGCTATTATAATGTGGAGTGGGAGGTTCGCTGCTCTCTGTAACAAACAAATGATATTGGTCTTGATGAAAGTGATATTTGGTCCTGGATATACTTATGATTGTGGTCTGAGAAAAAGTGATCAAAAGCTGAACAGAAAATGTGAAACGGATAGTATCTGAAGAACAAGCCTTACCAGACTGTGAGGTCTGCAATCCAGTGTACCACTCTGTCCGGATATTATTCCTCTGGGGGTGGAAACGGCTGGGCTTGAAGAACCCAGGAGGTGGACACACATGAACACGCACGGTGAAGCTGGAAGTGTCTTGATGGGACACCACAAGACATCTTGTGTCACAATCATAACCCACTAAATACATACTGTTCAATATTCACATGCAAAGAAAATGAATTGCTGCTAAAAATCCATACAATGAAAACTAAATACAATGCTCTTGAAGGGTTAGTGTGCTGAAGATGAAAAGTTAAATACCTGGAGGGGTCAGCAGTAGAAGGGGACGGAGTCGATTCCCATGGAGACAGGAATAGCGCATGGTTCCAATATCAGAGGAGGATGTAAGATACTGGGCCAAGCCTGCCAGGTAGAGAGCTCTTTTTCTCGGATACCTCTGGTTCACAACATCCTTTGGGTGGAGGACATCCTAATAACAGAGAGATGAGCAGATATACAATGCCAGTGGCACTTAGAGTCTAATGTCTATAATGTCTTATTGCATTGCTCTCCAGGATTCAAGCGACACATTTAAAATAAAAAAACGAAGAAAAAAAAAAAGAGGCAGGTGACTTACAGCTGGGATCGTGACAGCCAGGTCTACCATGATGCGTGGTTTAGTGCAGGTGCCCAGGGGGTAGCTGCCAATCAGATCAACAGAAGCAGGAGGTGCCATGTGGAACTTGCCTTTTGTCGTTTTGGGCACCAGGAGGAAAGGGATCTTAACTGCACTAGACAGCCATGACAGGTCGCTTACCTGAGCACATAGAGATATTGAGTAAATAAATGTGATTACAGGTGTGTGTTTATGAATTTGTGGATATCTGAATGAAAGGAATGGAGCCAGTCACAAAGCGTTTTTTCTCACAGTAACATTGCTACAAACCTCCACTTCTGGTGAATCTGGCACAGCCTGGAGCAGCTTGGTGACGGTCTGAATGAAGGAATCTATTTGCTGTTTCCTATGCTCACTCAGGGCGACCTCTTTCAGCAACTCTTCCATCTGTTATTGGTGACAGATCACAGACAAGCTTATTGTTTACATGGGAAAACAAGCTTGAATTAAGACATAACCCCCATTAGTTTTCCTTCTCTTCTCATGTCTCCGATGATGATTCTCTCTTATGTGCATTTCTGTAAGTCGGAGGACTCACCTGCATTTTGAGCAGGCTGCAGTGAAACAGACTTTCGGCCTCTTTCAGCTGGTTTAGCTCCTCTACAGTGGGAGGTCTGTACAGATCATTCCGAGACAGCTTCACGGGGCGACAGACCACCTCTCCCTCTCCAGCTTCGTCAGGTTTGCTCCTCTTGGTTTTCATGGGAGCCTCACCTTCCTCCTCCTCATGAGATGAGTCTGAGGCAGCCATCTGCGAAACAACAACAACATAGCATGCTTGAGTCAACTTTAAACATGTGGCCCTATATAAGGACTCCAAATAAGGGTATGAAAACTTGGGTAACTATCTACTGTTTTTTTATGAGCGTAAACCCTGGTGTTTGTCACATGAGTATTACCGTATTGTAAATTCCGTCTCTACTAATGCTGTAATTAATTGTGACGAGACATAATTGCAAAATTGCAGGCAAAGCATGTAAGCAACAGCCCGTGTTCCAGTGAGTAAACCCGTCCCGTGTGTTAAGCAGTAGTTAAACACCAGTCAGTTAAAACCATGATAAATGTCTCGAGTCTTACCTCTGCTGGGTCCTCTGCGACTGTCTGTTTCTTCTTCATGTCTGATTTGCTTTTAAACTGATGATAAATCCGATATCTTGAAAGTTTTGATCACCACTGCTTTCGCTTCATCGCGCTCTCACATGTGCATAGGGTCAGTGAAACATGCTATCAAGCAAAATAATTCCACGATTGGCCTAGAGGCGACGGAGGCGAGTGGTGATTGGCTCGCTACTCGTCGTGCGTCACGTCGGCTTCAGCAAGGTGGGTTGCACGGTACTCTAGAGCCAGTTTTGTCATGGGGCCTTACATTTTAATCATTCAGGAATACACAGTGTCCATGCCTGCAATAAATACATTTGTGTCAAAATCAGGTAAAATGTTTATTAAACAAGTGAAATATGTTTATTTTAAATATGTTTACATTCATATTATTTGTTGTAACGCTGTTTTACATTAAAAATTTCAAGCTAATGCCGTCTAATACAGTTATAATGTTAAAGTGTGTTAAAGAGGTGTTGATTCAGCTCTGCTGTTGAATTGCATTGCATTGCATTATACAGAGTGGTTTTTCTGTTGTTTAGTCTACCCTCATTGATTTAAATGGGGTGGACAAAATAATAGAAACACCTACCAGTTGAATCAACAACTAAAAATTTCAACAAATAACTGAACATTATAATTTTCGTGAATTTAGCAATTATTACAGGGCTGTTGTTATAGACTACATTGTTTTTAGCCAGGTGGACCAAATAATTTCCTTTGGTTTACAATTAAGTTGTTTGTATATGAGTTACATCTGTCTTTCTCCATCTTTGCTCTATTTTGTGGGAGGCATTGATAGAATGCATATCATACCTTTTACATATTCTATAAATATATATCAGTATCAAAGAAATGACAATAAATATTTTGTAATCACAGTTTATCAGGAACTATTTTTTAAAATGTAGTACAGTATATCTCACTGTATCGCAAATGCAGACTAGCTAATAAATATATGGAAAAATGGCTTGAGTGGGAATCTTTTCAAAACACAAATCTTTTACAGTGTACCCTACATTGGACATTATGTCAGATGTTCTTGCATTAGAAGGATTGTTTTTATTTCATTAACATATACCACATTCTGTTCTAAATAAATGTCAGAATCAGTTGTCACAGTTCTTCGACTGAACCATTGGGGTGAACAGAGATGGTCGGCCTGTGGTAAACTGATCAACTGAAAACAGTGGCACAGCTATATCACTTCGTATTGGCCTCAGCTTGGTAGACTGGGAAGGAAGTGTAAATTTGAGAGGGTTGCTTTCAACTGCCTGTGGATCCCGGAGAGAAACACCCTTGGCCAAAACCATTGCATCCAGCCTCAGAGACCCAGAGAATTCCATCCCTTCCTGTCTATGTCTAAAGGGAGACACTTTCCTCAGAAAGACACCTGCCTCGTTTCTCCTCTGAAACTTTTCTGGCTGATCCTTGGAGTTGGTTAGTGGTGTCAGTTTGGTTACTTTCTGCTCAGTTTGCTGCTTGTTATATTTTGGTTCTAGTTTGGATAGTCCACTTGGTTTCTTGGAGTTGGGTTTTGTGTAGTCTTTGTCCACAATCTCATACTGAGGAAAGATGCAGTGTCGAGGCAGGCATGAGGGATCAAGTCTTGGTATGGGTTGGTAGTCCTTAGGCTGATATAATGGTCCAGTCTTATGGTTAGAAACAGAATATAACTTATTTTTACCATCTACCTCCACATACTTTTTCTCTGCTGAGCAGGACAGGACTGGCAGCAATTTGCCTGGGACAGGCTTGGGAGGTAAATTGACTTTCTGCTTTTTCTCACGATCAGTTTTTAGTCGTGGCTGAGGACTAAGCACTTTATAGTGCTTGTCAGTCACAGGCCTCCTGGGACTTGTTTCGTCTTCAGATTGGATTGGAGAGCTGTTTTTTTGAGTCATAATATTACATTGGTGGTTGACCCTTGGCTCTGTTTGTGCTGGGACCTCAAGAATGTCAGCCTCCTGTTGGAAGTGGATATAGAGATACAGATATACTGCAGATATGGATACAAATAACCTCTTTGTTGAAATGTGAAGAGAAGACTTGCAGAAAAGACATATCAAGAGTACCTGTTGTGTAGTGGGATGAGGTTGAGGGGTAGCACTGACAACAGGTACACATCCTTGAGCCCAGGCATCAGAAGTTAATGGCACAGGCTCTGAGTCTTCAGTTCTACATGCTTCTTCTGGTCCTTCTCCTTCATCTGGGCACAGGATTTGTTGCTCTAGAATTTGTGTGAAGTAGTTCTTGGCCCAAGATGCGGAAAAAGGTGCTATCTTAAAGGACACCATGGATGTTACATGTACATGTATTATATGTTGTTGAAATGAATGAAAGCAAGATAAATCATTTTATTGGTCTCTCCATGAGTGGTAATCAATAAGATGATGTTCACACTTAAGTGAAATCAAAATAAAAAAGCGTATAGACCTTTTCATTTTTACCTGTCGTTCAATGTATGCCTTCAAACAGCCTTCCATGACCTTGCTCAACAGTTCATCCATGATCTCCCCTACTGTCTCCTCTGCATCCTCCTGGCTCAACATGTCCATCCACTGGGCGCGTGTTAAGCGACCAGGAATGATATCTTCCGCTTCCAGTTCCTGCGCTAGAGGTGGGGTCACTTGGACGGCCGACATGCGTCTAGCCCTGTCAGCTTGGGACTTTGCTGCTGAACGGGGCATCTTTACTCAGGGGCTGATGAAACTAAAACAATAGAAGGAAAAACAAAACAAAACATGAATGGCATAATCAAAAAACATGTTTTCATTTCATGGGAAATACGTAGTTATATAAAACTATAATGCCCAGAATCTGTTTGATGGAAAAATCGCCTGTATCAACATCATATAGGACAAAAAAATGAGAATGCGTATAGATAAAGCGCAAAAGATAAGTGTGTATTTTAGTTTTTGGTCTTTAAAACCTCACCGCGGTGTTTTGAAACCAAGAAGAAAGTCAGTCATACGTGTATCATTTAATTTTGGGTAATTATAACCTGTTACATGGCCACACATATCACCATTCGACTGCAACACTGACATGTATAGGTTACGTTTTGCGAATAATTGCTGTTACAACATTAAGAGCTCAAGTCCAAGTAAAAACCTTACCTTACACTCTACTTTGTATCCTCTGTTTCGTATAGTCTACGGTTGCTGAGCAACCGAGCACGCAAGGGTGACGTAGTACGTATAAGTGGCGTTGTCTCTATGGCTGCGGAGGACGCGGAGGTAATCCTGTTGCTAACGATAGCTAGAAAAGTGCTTCGTTTACGCTAACTTTGTCTGTAATGATCCATCACGACAGCGCTAATAGTGGAAGAATCAGTTGTTATGTAGTCTGAATCAAGCGCATGTGCATGTAGTCACACAAAAGTGACGGTATCTTCTTTTTTAAATACCCGTGTTATTGCAGTAGGCTTACTGCTAACACATCTAAAGTTAGCTTGCTGCTACTGTTAAATATTTAGCGTTGTCATGTCAAATAACGGTATAAGCCTTTAAATCGTTCATTCCACCTAACTAGACTTTAACTGTGGTGACCATTATTTCTTCTCTTAGACTAATACCAGATTACGCACTGCCATTTCAACAAACTGCGCTGTTGAGGTAAGACTGCGCGATGTATCACAAAGAAAAGAGCATCCAGATCAAAAACAGCGCCTCGGCGCTGTACAACAACCTCGGTGTCCTGCGCATCGCCCCGCGGCGCCTCACCTACTTCACGGTGGTCCATGCTAACGTGGTCAACATGGTCAGCGCGTCCTGGGACGGCCTCAACTACTCCCACCGTCAGCTGCAATCCAAAGAGCCCAATGTTGCTACAAGCACTTCGCTCATCATGCAGGTCAGGCCATAGTACAACTTCTAGCTATGTCACACAGTGAGAGCAGGTGGGATAGGAAGTTAGTGTGGTCCTTTAGGTACTTTCATTGATCTCTAGCAACATCAAAAAAGTTCCGTGGAGTGGGCCGTTTTTCGTCCTGTTGACTCTGTTTTACAACAAAGATGAAACAATAACTGTGAGGTTAAGGGCTGAGTGACTCTTAATGTGAAAGTCTATGATTTTAAATCAGATGACAGACTGTAGGAATCGTATCCCCATGTGTACACAGTGCCTACATTTTAGGGGACCGAAAATTAATGGACAAGTTAACCTAAATGTAAATACACTTGTCATATCGTTTGAAGAATTTATTTAATTTAAAGTCAGTTAGTGGCTAAATCTTGGGACCCATAGACATTATCTTCTTTGGAGATGCTCTGCCAGGCCAAGACTGGCCATAAAAAGTTATTGGCTGCCTCATTTGTATGTTCAGGGCCACTGCCATGGTACAATGTCCTAAAATTGGGGGACTGTGTATAAAAAGGCCACCAAATACACACAACACTGTTCTCCAGTATAGATTCAAACACCCTTTAGCACTTTTAACATTGAAAGTAAGTCGTTGTCTGGTCACTGTTTAACTTCCAATCCAATGTGCTGGAGTACGAGGATAAAGCAATAAGAAATACTACCACACAAACTGTTAAGAATTTTACTACATTCTTTAATAGGTTTCTGGCAAATCTAAAGGGTAAATTTTAACATTGTTTTATTTTTCTTTTGCTCTTGCACAGGAAAATAAAGAAATCCTGTGTTTTTTTTTAACAGGCTGCATTTTGTGCTCTGCCCTCTCGTGATCTGCTGGTCGTGACCTCTCAGAAAGGCATCCAGGTGAGTGGTCAGCGCCTGTCATCAAATTTGGAGGTTGTGTACAATGATGGTGCTGAAGTGGGTTGTTGAGTATTTTTTTTAAAATTACACACGTATAAAAAAAACACAAGTATTTATGCATATGTTTTTGCACCCTTTAATTTTCATGTACATCCATTGTTTTAGATGTATGAATCAGATGGCTCCATCATGGTATACTGGCATGCTCTGGATACTCCAGAAACACCTACAGGTAAACTTACATATAAACTGTGGATTTGCTTTATATATAGGCACTCAAAGACTGACCTGTCTCAATTATTTGCATGAAAACTGAATGATAGTAATATACTTAGTTCTTCCTGAAATATGTCAGTGTAGTTGACATATCCTCATGACACAAGCAGAATCAAAACATCATTGTGTGGACCTGGTTATTATAAAGCTGACGCTGTATGACGCTGTACACATGAGCAGTATTTTTCTGCTTTGTTAAGTTTACTCATAGATACTGGTAGATTTGTTTGCTCATACTTTTATACACATGCTCATAGTGTATATGCATAGATGTAAAATCAGAAATTTTCGTGTGAGAGAAAAATATTTATCTCAAGTTTCAGGCCAAATCTAGTGCACTCACAGAAGTTATTTGTGTCCCAGCTCAGGCCGTGTTTGCTCGAGGGATATCAGCTGTGTGGGAGAATTACATATGTGTGGGTAAGTGCAAAGTGAAACATATTTCTTTTAGTTACACATATTGAAAATACAGGCTAAAAAGCTACAGTCTACTTGTCTCTTTCTCTCTCTCTCTCTAGGCGTTTCATCAGGTGCAATTCTCGTATTTGATATTCCCAGTAAAGGCAGTAATATAACCCTGTCCGAGGTCCTGGAGGAGCACAAGGAGTCTATCACTGACATGGCCTCTGAGTGCTCTGGTAGCCAGGTTTGTATGGTGTGTGTGTGTGCTAGTGGTGCTAGTTCAGCGAGTACATTCTCTGTGATGTGTCTATCTGAACTTTTGTCGATACAGGATAGTTCTACCTTTTCCATGAATGGCAAACTACCGAAATAAATTATCACTTCACATAATACAACCTTTTTTTTTTTTCTTTACATAATCCCTTCACTATGTCTCTGTCTTCCTCTCCTCAGGAGTGCATAGCTGATCTGGTCAGTGCAGATGATGGGGGCAACCTTTGTGTCTGGAAGTCAGGGGAGGAATTTCAGCTGCTTAACAGGATCCCTGGCTTTGAGTAAGAAGTTGATTGTGTTAGAGTAATTTTTGGTAAGCAATGTAAAATTGAGCTAAAATAAGGGGTGCAATGGCAGCCAACTGAAAATTACTTATATGAACCTCTGTTATCTAACTTTAATCACCTTTTCCACTCGCACTTTCCTCTCATCTCCCTGTCAAATATTGTTGTACTTACCTACTCTAATTTATGTTCCATTCCACTGTCTTTTGTACCTTCCTCAGTTCCCCTCCTTCCTCTAATCTAATGTCCATTATCTTTTCCCTTTATTCCCCTATGACAATGATCCTCCATCTTCCTCACTGCTTTCAGTATGAGCTGCTCCTCTGTTAAGTTGTGGAAAGGTACAGTGGTGGCAGGTTATGGCACAGGCCAGATCCGTCTCTATGAGGCAGTGACGGGAATTCTGCATGCTGAGGTCAACGCCCATGCTCGCTGGATATACTCATTAGACATTGCTCCTTTTTCTGGACTGGTGAGTTGTATAAACTAAATGGATAAGAAAGAAATTACAGTTTATTGTGTTGGCAAAAAAAAGAGATTCATAGTTTTTGAAATGAAATATGATAATTATTTAAATTGTTCAATTCATTTAGCTCTAACATATGTCCAGATGGTTCTTGGTGATTTTTTTGGGGGGTATATCTCATACCACTGCAGTTTTAAAACTGATCATCTGCTTGTGTTTTTAAGCTTCTGTCTGCTGCCGAGGATTCTCTAGTCAGGGTCTGGCACCTGACTTTGACCCCAGAGACAAACAGTGTGGAGGTAACTGTTATTAAAATAAGAAATAAAAAAAGTATAGTTTGTTCTTTTAATAAGTCCAGGATGAAGGCACGATTTATGACGGTTCCTCCAGGTTTACCTTATATTTGATTATTTTTCTCTAACTCTCAGTGAGACCCTGCCTTTGTGTTTTCCCCATTTCCTCTTAGGTCGCCCATTTGCACAATGAGTGTGTGACAGACACACAAATCTGTGGCGCCAAGTTCTGTGATGGTGATGGCTATGCCTTTGCAGTGACAGGCTATGACCTGAGTGAGATTATCCGCTACACACAGTCGTAGGACCTCGCCTTCATTGGGGCTAAGTGCATGAATGTGAACTTGAGTTGGGATTCAGCAATGACGAGGATATTTAACAAATCGTTTGGATTGTTTCTCTGCATTTCTTTCCTGACATCTGCAAAGGTTGGAATGACATTAGAAAATACCAAAATAATGCAAAAGTAAAGTGTTAAAGTTTATATAAATATTTTAAGTACTAATGTTAACATGTATTTGAATGTAGCTTTAAAAAATAATAAAATATTCTGTAATTCTGTCTGACATGATTACTGTGTCAAACATTGTGCCAGTAAACACTTTTATAAAGAAAGCTGCTGAGTTTTAATTTTGCACTTCATAAATAGACCAGTAGATGGGGCTGTGGGTTAATTATTTTTGAACAGGACTGTGACAGTGTAGTGCAAGTAGACTTCACTAGAGGGCAGGGTGGAGTTGTCTAACAGGATATTGACTGATGACAGAGTATTACAGAAACTCCACATTGTGATTGGATACTGTGTGCAGGCCACAGGATGCAGGTGCATGCACTCATGTCAGCCAGTAAACATGAGCACATCACAGAGGGAGGTCTGAGACATTTTCTTTTCATTGTATTGGCTAATTTCAGATGGCCTCCTATGCATATCTATTCTTATGCTTCCTGCCATGTCCACAGCCTAACATGTGAGAGACATTT